ACCTGGACATCCCAGTATCCTCGTTACCTCGGGCATGCGCATTCGCATTTTTTCTGAGTTGGAACGTTTATGCGAGAGCGAGATTGTGACGGGATCTTGGTATCATGTCACCGTAGTTACAAACCCCAAGTAATGTACCTCTGATATAATTAATAAATTCATATAAATTCAGTTTATTTACCAAACCTCTAATATCCCATAATATGAATTTCAATTACTTCAGACCGTGGACGTTTTCCTATTTTATAGAAGCTCCCAGGTCATTGTTATTGCCTGACATGGTTTGCAGGTGAGTTCTATGGTCGATCATTGGGGATAGGGACCGTGAATGATTTTGGTTCATTTTGTCGCTTGAAAAGTGCAACGTGCGAAAACATGTAAAGGTTTTTTATCGACTTACAAGATTGTGCAATTACTACTGCGAACAAAACATGGCATATAAATCACAATTATACCTCACTTTTAAGTACGTAACTTGCAACACATCCGACACATTGTTATACATACAATATTGTCTCAAACTAAACTAGTGTCATTGAGGACGGTTTTTTAAAATAAAATGGTTCCATTCGGTTGTAAAAAGTCGTTTAAAAAATAAAGAGAATTGCATTTGTTTGGTGTCCGTGTCACCCCATGATACAAATTCCAAATGTGGCGTGAAACCTGTAGTACGTACATATTGCTTTACTGGCATTTTTAATCATATTCACAAGTTGTTCATGATGTCAAAGTGCATAGTATTCCATTCTATGGATATTACGTGCAAAACGTTTCTACTCCGATGGGGGCGCTACTGTGAGCTCATTATGTCAATTTGTCAAAGTTTCACAAATTGTGCAATGGTCAAAAGTTACATGATCACGTCATGGTACCATGGCAACAGCCGTGACAATATGGTCAAGAGCCAGTACTCATCTGCTGGAAATCCAGAACTTGAGACATTGTTTATTTTGTGTAAAAAGCCGAAATATCAGCAATCAATAATATTATCTATGAAGCATACTTCCTGTTATTTCTTGGATTTTGTCATTTTGGTCGTGGCCAAATAAATATAATTAGTGTAAAATTCCGCGACGTCACAAGCTATGCGCAAATAAATAACACAAATACACCTGGAAGGTTATTTTTGTTGAAACATTTTTTTAGCACTTTCCATGATATTAGCATATGTACAGGTCATGTGACCTGACGTATTCCTAGATTTTTTTATCATATGGTTGTTATCACCAATGTTATTTTTGCTCGGTAATATATAGAAAATAACTTACAAGCAAAATTGCAAGAAAAAACCGGGGCCCATGACCCTATTACATTAACATATTGCGATCATACATATTAGGCTACTTTCTTCACGGTGCTTGAAAGCAAATGTGCCTTAAAAGTACTAACTTAATATAACACTTGACACATTTCCATATGAATTGGCAGCCTTTGGTGCTGTCCACTCCTGTTCACGAAGCGTATGCTGAAGTCTGTGTGTTTATCAGTAGCCCATAACCACGTATAAAACATGGAAACCTGGCTGAAAATCGTGTTACCTGTTTTATTGTTTATGTCCGGGTTAATTAGTTATCCGGCTTGCGTGAATGGGAAGTTGCAGCCCACTTTACAGGAGGTGAGTTCTGACATTAGTAGACAGTCTTGCACAGTGTATTAAAATAAGACTGAGGGTTTCGAGCTCCCAGTGTTGTGCTGTTTTCAATTGTCCCAACGACCTTCGGTCATCGCCACGTTACGATTAGTGAATCTCGACTCCCGCTGTCACGCTGAATGATACAGTTACACCAACGTGTCCGTCAATTACAATATACGTGTAACCAGGGCAATAAATTAATCACAGAAAATTATAATTATAATAACATTCATTTCGCTGTTCATTCTGTTCATTCTGTATTACTTTTTATTGCTTATAGTTCTTACAGTTTTCTATGGTGTACAGGTAGTATGTTTCATAACAACTAAAACAGTCTGACCAATGAACCCAACGATTTTCTTGTTTTCTTTGCATGAATGATAGACAAAAGACAATTGCGAAAATGAAAGTTTCAAAAGTGTAATAATGGAATAGTTCGTTAATTATTTACTTGCGTATTTGTTCATGAAGCGTAGCCGTGTGCGTTTCTGATTTTAAAAACACAATGCATGTGCTTAAAATGTGTGTACGAAAGATATTTCTGATGATAAGCATTTGTTTTACAAACTGACTGAAGAATTCTGATGTGAGTTTCAGACAATTACTGAGATTTACATACATGTAAGTTTTAGATGGATTGTGTGTACACTAACACGCCATTTTACATCATCGTGACTTGCTTCGCAGTCTTTGGGGCGAAACGTTGCAAATGGATGCATAATGAGCGCTCATCACAAGGTAAGCTGGTAGCGAGAATAAAGTATACCTCGATGGTTTTGACATGTATCATATACTTTTGTGACAACCAGCCATATTTAATTTAGTAATTACGTCAGATTTCATCAAAATGTGCTTGATTTGTTCAAAACTTGTCTTTGTTGAAATTACTCATACTGTCAGTGGTGTTAACAACGCATTAATTGTAGTGGTTGGTACTGTCCGGGGCTTTATTTTTAATGGGCAAACCAGTAAATCCCTGGGAGTACAGTTTAATCGTAAAATTGTCTTCTTCATCCGGTATACCGAGAAATGTACTTGGTGTCCAACATATGTGTGCTGTAAGTGTGTTGTTCTTCCAAGTTGAAATTAATTAACATTGTTTTTAATTAAGTTTGGCTACGAATGAATAACTGCGGTGCTGTAAGGTAACCGCGACGACAACAGTTTTTAGCCGCATTTACCACTTAAAGCAATTTGTAAACCCTTATACATTTTGTATCAACTAAAATGTTCCAACAGAACATGTTGTTGTCTTAAGAACTGTTTCAGAAACAGGAACGCCTACATAAATATATGACCCGAGGCACACTACATAGTTTCATGGTGGTAAAATGATACAGTGTGTCGTCTCAAGAAATAACATTCTAACAATGTGTAAGCAAAAAACAAACATAAAAAGCACTTAGCTGGAACTTAGCCCGAAGGCGATTCAGTTATCTTTTTGGAGTTAGGTCTCCGGGGACAGAAGTCCCGAGGTGAAGGTTAGTGTGACGAGTACACCGATTTTGAGAATTATTCGGACAGTCAGTTAGTTAACAAACTGGCTTGCAGCTTTGCGAAACGGCGCCATTCCGCTGACACGCCCACATTATAGACCAATTCATTATCCAGACAAGGCCAACGCACATTTTTAAAAATGATACACGGACAAGTTATTTCGACGTGTCGCACATTAATCGACTGCAGCCAGATTGGAACTTGTTAAACTACACCACCAGCTTACTATGCATCACGATTTACTAAAAACTGCAGTTAGGAGAGGATCCTGCGATTCAGATCAGTCTGCATTTTCTACCACCAAGTACCACTGACTAAAATGAACGTGGGTTATACATTTGTGCACTGTGTAAGTACACGACTTTAATGACGTGTGTCGAAGTATATAGAGTCTGACATAATTTGACCCGTAGTATTCTTACTAATGTACTTACCAAACACCGAGGTTGTACTAAACCAAAGACCTGGGCGTGTTATTAACTTCTATCTTACAGGTTGCTGTATCAGAGGTCAAAAAACAAGACGATTTGCCCCAAGGTATAGTATATTTTGTTATATTACACCACACACTGCATTCATTCAACAAATACCGCCTCTGCGCATGACAACACGAGTTACGATGTTAAGTGTTTCAAAACAGAAAGTTCTATCTAAAATATAAATTGTTGCTAAAGAAGGTGGTTTTTATTTATATACGAGTCATGAACACTGATAATATATATGGTAACACAATACTGTGAGGAAATAATGTCGCGACATGCCCAGGTTAAAACACAGTGCTATTGATGGACACTACTGTATTATATTACCCAGTTACGACGAATTACTGCTGTGAATACTGTTTGAACACATAATTAAGCACAGTATTTTCTGGCAATAGAGTTTCTTCTGATGTACAATGCAATTGACGTGCCGTTAACATTAACGTGTAACGGGGTCATTAGCTCAGACCACCCGCAGAGCACAAGTTTGAAACAGTCACATGATAGATTGTCTCTCGCGACAATGGCTGCTTCAAATCACGTTGTTTGCGGAACAGAGTAAACGCCATGGAATTTCACGCTCCACAGACAAATTTCGTTACGCTGACGTTCTTTTTTAAATGATGAACGTCATGTTTGTTTTTTAATCCATAATGCAATTCTTCTCCGGATTTTCACTTTGGTGTCTCAGAGTCCAGGAAACATTTGCACCAGGCACACACTGCAACTATGGTACTCTGCGTGCTAATATTGATAAGAATATGTCGAATTTATTTGTTTTCAAGTTTATAATACATTTTTGATTTCTGCATATTTAACATATCGTTATTTTTACACACAACGCTGCAGTATTTGACAAAGTAAGATTAAATTGAATAAATTTCATTTTTGAGTGATTAATAGATTTAAAAAAAAAAAATCGAAATGTTTATAGCTTGAACCAAAATTACGATATCTCAAAAACTGTTTCTCCGATCTACATTAAAATTTGTTTCATTACTTGTTTTCCAATTAAACCGAATTGTATATCATAAATATTAAGCGACTAAGACGATTGTGTCATTATTTCAATTTCAACTATTTATTTAAATTGGTTATGACATGATCTCAACAGTGATAACATACTTGTAATTTTTCTGTTAGGGAACATCATAGGGTCATCAAATATAAAAGTTGCCGGGTGCATGATAACCCTATCTCACGGACTAGCGTAGGTTTATCGTTTTGACAGATCATATAATATTTAAATTTCGCGATTTGGTAATCTCCATCGTATAAGGGCACTTTCACCAAGTAAGTGAAATTCGCCATTAAATCCGACAGTAGATAAGTCGTGACGATAGGAAAAGTATTTGTTTGTAATATTTGTGTACTGTTTGTTTATACAGCTGGTATACGAATACGGAGACAGGAAACGTTGTATATTTGGGTGCTAGTAGAGAATTCTGAGGTAAATATCTTTGTATTATCAATTTGACCAACAATAACGTTTTGGCATGTTATCGCACCAACACGCATGCGCATTCTCTGTCTTCCTCAGTCTGTTGGGTGACGTATTTACTGCGTCATATTCATGGAGCTAAAAAAGACCTCCATGGTCATATTAAACTTATCGACATGTTTATCAACAGTGTTCGGTGACCTGTGGAGAGGGGTTCAAAAGGCGGAATGTCCGATGTCTGGACTTGGTCACGCGACTGACAGTTAACGATACGTATTGTAACCAGACCAATAAACCACAAAGGGAGATACATAGCTGCAATACAGGAATCGAATGTCTTAACTACTATGACTATATTGTAGAGCAATGGTCAACGGTATGTACACATACTAACCCTATATGGGGTTCAAGTACACGTTCGATACGCAATCTTGAAATTCGGTTTACAATTTGACCCAAAAAGACGTTAATTATAGGACGGTGGTCTTCGAACCAATCGTTGGCAAGAGTTTCACGTTTTTGATTGCATTGCCCTCATGATCCGCAACCATTTTCCATTAACTCAAAATTCTTTAATTTTAAGCTCTGCATTTCTACTTTACAATGGACATTGGTATAGGGTGGGTGATTGTCTTAGGACCGCCGTTTTTAATTGAATACGGCATGAGTTCAATACATTAGTTACAGTATACCTTGTGAGAAATTAGAGATTTGAATTTCTAGAGCCGTTTATTCATATCTACTGTAAGCTATATGTGTTTAATTAACAGTGTTCAGCAACTTGCGGATACGGTATACAGGAATCAGAAATATTCTGCGTAGATCTATTGTCCGAGCAAGTAGTAAACGAAACATACTGTAACGACCAGAACGTAACACGACCGAATAACACACGCCGATGTTGGAACCAAGAATGTCCAAGTGGTTACAAGTATATTACTGGTCGTTGGTCTCGGGTGAGTGAGACAATGTTGTATTCATGATATGGTTGTCACCCTGTTGATCTGAAAAAGTATACCATGAACATGAGTCTGATCACTAAAATTAGCGTACTGCGTTAAATAACTCACATTCCTAATTAGCCTGACAAGTTGGCGTAAGGTGCAGCAGTCCAGGGCGCCACCTACGCCAACTTGTCAGGCTGATTACTATATCGCATCACAGTCCCTCTAGGGACTGTGATCGCATAGACCATTTTCCCTGAAGTAGCAAAACTGGGGTGCAAAAATACTCCTGCTTTGTCATGGCGGAAAATATAAACACGTCAGTTTACTGATAGTCGATAACAAAGAATTATATTTTTGTTACGTCAATTGGTACACCCAGAAGCACAATATCACGCGTGCAAATTTATGTTACGCCCCAATTTCGCATGCGCGCGCATGCGAAAAGCCGTATCTTCGACTTCCGGGAAAGTCGTCTATAGTTGTATGCAGTTGTGTCATGACACTTTCTGTTTTATTATAGGCGGTATGTTTTTGTTTTTCATTTTTCCTTCCCCCATTATGCGTTGTTTTGTTGTATCAAAGACACTAGTGTCTTTGGTTGTTTGTTGTATGTCGTTATAAGTTTTTGTGTTGTGTTGTGTTATTACTATTATTTCGTACAGCCAATACACCATTACTTATAATAAATATTTATATTTAAAGAAAAAGAAGAAATATTCACAACTAGATATTCGCTTTTTATTATTATAGTGTTCGGAATTAGGGGTACGAATCCGAACTGTTCACTGTGTCAATGTGAGTACGGAAATGCAAGTGGAAGACGAATATTGCAGCGATTTTAAAAAGCCGTCTAGTGTGGATAATTTTACCTGCATTCCCGTTGAAAGGTATACTCATTATTATTTGTCGAGGAATAGTTATCCTGAATATTGGGTCGCGGCGTAGTTATCCTGAATATTGGGTCGCGGCGTAGTTATCCTGAATATTGGGTCGCGGCGTAGTTATCCTGAATATTGGGTCGCGGCGTAGTTATCCTGAATATTGGGTCGCGGCGTAGAATGGCCCAGTCGTGGAAATTTTATTGTTTTATGTAATAATTCATCGAAGAACAAGTTTTTAGAATCTCCCGCGTTGCGGCATCGAACCAAGATGTAAGAAAGAATTATAAAATTGCCACGGTTGCGGCGTAATTATCAAGAGTAAATATTGTTGACTTTTCACATCTCACAGGGACGAATATTATTACATCACCGGTGACTGGGGTGACTGTGACTGTCACACTGATACACACAGAAGACTGGTTGCCTGCGTTCATATTTACAATTCCAGTGTAGTACTATCGAACTATACAGAATGTGACCAAGCAGGATTGCTGAGGCCTATAGAATCAATGAACTGTACGCCATCGGAGTGTTTAGGAACTTGGAAGACAACATTATGGGCACTGGTAAGTAACGGCCCGGATGTCACGTGATCACTTGATTTCACCACGATGTTATTTTGTTACGATTTGTACACTGTGAATCACAGTTAGTTGGCGTGTGTTGTCTGGCGGTAGAAAGATAGGGAAAGTTATGAAACCACACTTTTCGACATTTTCGTCTACAGAAAATCTGAGCAAAAAAATTACAGTTTTAATGGTGATGTAATAATGAGGTATTCTTCCAATTAAAATAATAAATCGCTAGATTTCGACATCTGATGGCATTTCGGCATTTTTTGTTTATAAAACGATGATTAACAGCGACCCTGGGACACTGAGGATGTATGTTTTGTTGTGTCTGCGTTTAACTGTCGTGAACGCAAAGTGTGTTTTATTAGAAGGCGGTGCTACTGAAATTAGACATGCCAGTAAACACCAAAACACTGGAGTAATGGTATCGCATACGCGACATATATGGGTATCATATAAACAAGGATGGCGACTTTGACTGTTGCGCAGATCAACGAGTACAAACTGGGACGTTACTAAGCTTTAATTATGTATTTTAGGTGATTGTAAGGTATCGAAGAAGTCACCGGTGGTAATTAGTGCAAGTCGAGAAAATGTGCCAGGGATTGTGGGAAAATCAATGTTTATCAACACAAATGTCGCACATGCGCGGCGCGACGACCACCGCCTTTAAAGTTGCGCATTGTACGCTTCTGTAAGCTCGCTGCGTTTATGATTTGGACACACGAATCTATCCTCGGTTTAATTGTATGTGGGTCAATTGCCAATGAATACATACTCCTCTGTTTGATTTAGGTCCGATGGTAATGATGCTTATATTTCATCAAATTTCACTCCCATTAAGTGCCCACAAACTTGCATCTCTACCTTAACTTACGTTTACCTAATAAAACACACACATGATAAATAGCCATAACTTTCTGTTTTATCCATTCAGTGCTCTGTTACCTGTGGAGCTGGTATAACATCTAGACGTGTGTACTGTGTTCTTCAAAGCGATGTTAATATTCTCTTGGACGACGAACATTGTGATAATCTTATGAAGCCATCAGCAATAAAGACCTGCCAGCACCACGACGACTGTCAAATCAGGTACGAGTAAATGTCAAGCCAATTTACATGTTCACATAATAAAGAATAATTACAGACATATTTTGATGATTTTTAAACACGACACGACATTTTCACGATGTGTATCGTGTTGTGGAACAACTACAAACAAATTGTCAATTGTTATATTTACGGTTTCCAATCATGAAAATCAATTTACATCGACTTTAGCGTCCAAAATTTGATATACCTACTAAAACATCTAATACCATTTACCTCTATTACGATATACACTTGTTCCTTTCTCTATTAATTCGGAATTTAAAAAATACCAACAAACAAACAAATAAAAGAACGTTTCTCCTATTAGTTTTCGAAAAAATGACTTTACGTGACATGTGCGAAGGAGTGTTAAGACAGAGTCAATTTAAAATCTCGCCCTCTATCGATATATAACGCATATCAACGCGTCGCGCTCTATGACGTTGTTTTGTCGCTTGTCAGAAGGTTTTTGTTTGTTTCTCGTTGTTGTAACACATTACACGAACCGGGATGTTAACAAAATGTCGATCTACCTTAAAGCGTCAAAATAGTCGCACTGAGTCGTACCTGGTGTCAATCCCATGACAACGGCACCCATGTCTTTGTCGCCATAGAGATCGTTTTGTTTTATTTTGTTCTTTGTGTATATCGCCATTCTGAACATACTGTAAATTAGTAACACGATGTCACTACCTGTTTAGTTATCAGTGGATTACAAGCAATTGGTTTCCATGTGAAGTCAACTGTGGCTTGGGAATTCAAAAACGGGACGTGAATTGCTACGGCATCGTCTATGGACGAATAATGCGAGTCAACGACACACTGTGCATTGAAGACAGACCGACCAATACGCAGATATGTAACAGCTCATGTAGCGGCGTGTGGTCTATCCTCAGTTCATGGTCCGAGGTAAGTTACCAGTCACAGCGTATGACAGATCTATTGTAATGTGAAATGTATATTCAAGAAATAACTACCCCAGAGCATACCACGAGATTTGGACACAGACACGTGTTATGTGAACTGGTCAAAATCGAGTGGTATACTTGCCTCTGGGGTGGTTATTCCTATTATATTATACCAACTTATTTTTAAGGATAATTCTGAGACATATAAGCCAAAAGTGAGAGCGCATTTCAACGATCTACTTGCTGCCATGGTTAAATGAAATGAGTCCTGGAACTATAGCATACACGAATTATAGCTACATGGAGCGGTGACAAAAATTCGGACCCATATTTCGGCTTTGCGGGGTGTATTCGTGTAGTTTGTTAACGTCAACGTTGACATGTATAAAATCATCTCAATCGATATCGTTTCAAAAGGTACAGATGCGATAAACGCCGCATGTCCTACGTGTTTTGATGATTGACACAACTTCTGAACGATCCACTGAAGACAGCAAAATAAAAGAAATTATATTATTTATCTCATACGTCTCTTTTGAACCATAAATACCAGAGTGTCGTAATGTCCTTCATTACGTGATATGGCTGTATCTCAAAATTCTAATTTTGGAGATTTCAGTTGACAGAAGAATTTAACCCTGCTGTGTGTTATTCACATTTTAACCTACTTTAAACTCGAAAAGCGTGGTTTATCGTCTATCAAACCACGACGTCGTATTCGGTCAATTAAAATGGTGGTATAATATAATCATATATAGGGGGGGACATAATAGCGTGTTAAATTCTAGTACACACTGCCAGACCATATATTCTACATGACTACACCATAACCGATTAGACCACTTTCCCGGAAGTAGCAAAACTGGGGTGCAAAAATAGACCTGCTTTGTCATGGCGGATAATACAAGCATGTCAGTTTACTGATAGTCGATAAAAAAGAATTATAATTTTGTTACGTCAATTGGTACACCCAGAAGCACAATATCACGCGTGCAAGTTGACGTTACACCCCAATTTTGCATGCGCGCGCATGCGAAAAGCCGTAACTTCGACTTCCGGGAAAGTTGTCTTTTGAACGTCACTGTCACGCTCTGCCACTAGAGGGCATAATTCCTACTTATTTCATTTTAACTATGACGTAAGCCAGCAAAGACTCTACCTGTAACCATATATATGTACTAATTTCTACTGATTATTTGTGTTACTTAACTAGTGTTCGACAACATGTGGCGAAGGCATCCAAGTTCGCAGTGTTGTCTGTGAATACCCTGCTGCGGCTAATATCGAGCCTGGTTTTGTGGAATGCAATATCGATGATAGACCAAAAACAACACGGGAATGTAATCTTGGAACGTGCTTTTTTGAAGGTATAAATGTTAAGCTTAGTTACACACTTAAGTTACATTAGCGAAGGAGCACATACATGCAAATAACAATGTATTATTTAACCATTGTTATAGATGTGTAATCGTGTAGTCTCGATGTGCAAGTGGAGTATTTATATACCGTACCTATAATCCTGGTCGTTTGAATAATAAATATATCATCTTCACATCTTATTCCATTTCATTTTTATAAAAGTCAAGACCTTAGACTCTTACCACTATCACTATAGTTAGAACAGTGAAAGCGATAACGAGAGAATAGAACACTATGGAAATCTTGTGGCGCTCTCGATCTCAACGAGATCTCGGTGAAAGCGATAACGAGAGAATAGAACACTATGGAAATCTCTTGGCCCTCTCGATCTCAACGAGACCTCGATGGCCATTTGCGTCTAATTTTTATTTAACCACCAGTTCTCTCTTTTCATCACAAAATAGTCCCGTTTATAGTCTGCACCTTTCTTCAGAAGATTGGAACAAAAGTAGCCAAATGTTTGAGTAAAAAACTGAGAATTGATTCAAATTTTGTCTGTTGGCTCCAAAATCAGTGTTACTTTTCCAGAAATATTGAAGAATATAAACAAAAGTGCAGACAAATTTAGGCGAGAAGGTCTGGTGGTGAAAGGGTTAAGGAATAACCACTCCCAGAAGCGAGAATACTACGAGATTTTGACCAGTTTCACGTCATATACGCACTAGCGACGGTGAAGTGAACTGGTCAAAATCGAGTGGTATAGTCGCCTCTTTTTATTTTAAGGGTAACATGCGAAACAGCATATATATGCAAATTTGATACAGCATATATATGCAAATTTGATACAGCATATATATGCAACCGCGGTTAAATGAAATGGAACCTAGAACTAGCAGAGCCAATCACCTTAGTCGGCAACTATTTCTGGCGTCGTTTGCGAAATTCCGAGAAAAAAAAAATGTTTTCTCATGCATCGCTTTTGAACCTTTTGAACTTTTCTTATTTACGGGCTACGTCTGTAGCGCAAAATGTTATGTTTGCCGATTTTTTTGGACAGATTGAACCATTCTGTTTGCGGCGTACTTCTAAAACACAAACCGTCATATATCGTCTAATCAACCACGGATTGCATAATTAAAAACATACTCTCGGCCAATCGCAACGGCGTATTTAGGCTAATAAAATGTTCGTATAATATAATATTCATGTTACATGGGGATGCATTATGTTTACCTTACAGAGCTATGTAGCAGCAATCCTTGTTTACACGGAGGAACCTGCTATGTAGAATATGACGAATACTATTGTGTATGTCCTTCGAGGTGGACAGGTGGTAACTGTGAAACTAGTAAGAACTTGATTTAATCTTTACTTGTGATTTTTTTTAAATCAATCACATCTTGGTATAATAATTTCCCTGTGTTTATTTATTACGCTACAGTCGTCGCCGCTCGTCCTGTTCGATATGGGACCCATAATAACTTATAGAACGCGTGCAGAATATATTGTTTGTTCACATTCAGTTCGAACGCGCACTGCGTGAAGACTGTAGTGTATTAATATATCAGAAAATCCGATTCACTGTTGACAGGATTTAACTGTGATGATAGTACGTGTATGAACGGAGGATCGTGTAAAACTGATGGCATGGACGACGGTATATGTTCCTGTGTCACTGGCTGGTCCGGAGAAGTCTGTGAATTAGGTGACGTATTTTTTCTTGATACATACAAATGGAACATATATATGTATATGCGTATATGTACTTGCAATATACACGCTATTTTGTCCTATGCTGTATTATTGAGTTGCATGTTCACGTGTCTCTAACTAATTACTAGGCACGTGTTGTATGTAATAAGTTAAGCACGGGTTGTCCTGCGTAATACCAAAGTCTACAGCGAATATCCCCGGGCATATTATAAGAAGCAATCGCTTAGAACGAGGACGTCTTGATTACGAACTTAACACATCAGAAAGCTTATTGCATTGTTTTGTGAACTGTTTCCAAAGTGACATTATTTCGTCGACACTTTGAATACCGTCGATTGGTTGCCCTCATTTCGGTTAAACAGCGTAAAAATTGCCTAACCTCACATGACCACGGACTGACCAATCACATTGCATCACAGAATCTGTTCGTAGTAAAATACTGGTAAATACTTTATGCTCTGTTACCCGATTTATATACCGTAACATTCACCTGTCCATCTGACGAAGCTTCTGTCGTCATCATTGCAGATATTGAACCACCTACATTGCAAGCCTGTCCGACCAATTTAAAAATAGAAACAGAGCGGAACAAGCGTACTGGGTCAGTTATTTGGAATGAACCCATCTATACAGACAACTCTCCGCATGTCTGGCTTACAACCTCCCATGAACCGGGGTCGAATTTTAAAATTGGGGCGACGACGGTGGTGTACTCAGCTGTTGATCAAGCGGGCAACACAGCCGAGTGTTCCTTTGTTGTTCGCGTTGAAGGTATGTTCATTAAGGTAGTCTGCTACCACTAAAAAACAGGAATCCTTGAAATCCAGCAAGAAGTGTTGAGTTACTGTAATGTTCAAAATTCTGAAATAAAAATATTGGTTCACTAAACTAATTTTTCCATAAAACGACCTGAAATATTGATAAAAAAAGGGCTTACAACTGGTTCCTATGGAAGAAACATTCCATCATATCTCATATTCGGTGACCTATGCTTAAAAAATGATATGTCGTGTTATGAGGGGTACATATGGCTGTCAGGAAGTATTGGAAAAATTTGAATATTATCCATGAAATAATGTGTTTACATGGAATCCTATGGAAAATGATCCAATACTAGTATGGCCGCTTTTTAGATTAGTTTGCATATGTATTCTTGGAAACACATCCTTCTTTCTTCGTGAAAACTTTAAATATGAATGAAGTTCATGTATGTGAATCATTACACAACAATTTTTGGATGATTTACTGTGATCAATTTTTTTCATGTTTAGTCGCAACGCATGAATTGGTACAACAAATGATGTCATATCATACGATTTATCTGAAGAGATGATCAGATTATTCAGATTTGTGAACTGGTCTTAACCATATTTCAATGTATAAATATAACATATGGTTTTGTCTATTCTATTCTATCAAAATGATTAAGTGTGTTTTATTGGAATTCACAGACAACCAAAAACCCAGCATAACTGGTTGTCCTAACGATGTTTTAAAAGCGATCGACACTAGTGATTCACTAAACGGTGTTTTAGTTAGCTGGGATGTCCCGGATGCAGAAGACAACTCCGGTAGTGTCACCATGACTAGTACTCACGACCCGTTTGATCTGTTCTCGCTTGGTGTAAGTCAAGTTACATATCAAGCCAGTGATGCGTCAGGAAATATTGCACGTTGTTCATTTCAAGTTACAGTTGAGACTCTTTCAGGTAAGTTTATTATTATATGTCTGGTGTTAGAAAAGCCAGAATGAGAATTTAAAGTTCCATTAGAGCCCGAAAAGTATTTAAATGTTGTCAAAATTATTTCCCATATATACAGTTGTATACTTTGGCACAACTTGAATAAAATTAGCTTTTTCTATTGTAAGAATGGACCGTATCTATTAGCTCTGTGAGAGATGAATATATGGTTTCTTTGGAAACAACCCTTTGTCGAATTTCATTTATAAGTTTTGGGTGAATTCTCAAAACATTTCAGTCAGGAGGGGTTGCACATGAATACATAGTACAAGTACAAATTGGTTAGAGGCTGGCCATGAATGTTTTCATTGACTATTGATTCAATGTAAGATAACTAAAAAAGATAAAGACGAGTTTTCTTGATTTTTTTTTAGGAAGGGTTGTTTTTCAAACATAAACTAAATGATTGGATTTTAAGAGAAACCTTGATCGAGTTACTATAAAGTACATGTTTAATTGACCATGATTGTTCAACATTTCTAGATCCTAGGGATATTATCTAATGCCATGAGTGAATTAAAGCGCGGTAGTCGTCGCGCTGCACATGTGCGACATTTGTGTTGATAAACATTGATTTTCCCACAATCCAATGCGCTCTTCAAATGGAAATCACATGTATGAGGTTTGACCTGGGCGTGACTTGCACTGATTACCGCCGGTGACTCCTTCGATACCTTCCAATCACATGAAAATTACCTAATTACAGCTTGGAAACGTCTCAGTTCGTACTCGTTGATCTGCGCAACAGTCAAAGTCACCATCTTTGTTTATATGATACCCATATATCTCACACATGCGAAGCGCGACGACTACCGCGCTTTAACAATTTGCTGCAAATTTAAGAAATATTGAGAGAGAAAGTTAGACAAACTTGCTAAATTATTCCCTCACAACTTTGGTTTTGATAAAGCAGATTTTTTAACTCTTCAGACCTCCGAAACCTAATAAACTTATTCAAACTTATTTTTTTATATGACTAACATTTGATGGTGACAAAATGAAGGGTAACATTCGAAATGTATGTCATCTGCTATAGTCAAAACCAAAGTAGTTTGCAAATTAGTGAGCAAGTTAGCTAACTTACGGTACTGCCTTAATATTTATTAGACTTGCTGTAGGACCCAATTTTTTGTTTTTCCAAAAACAAATTAGATTTGATTTTAGAATGCTCATTTATTAACAACTTTACAAGTTGAGACAATTAAATACACTATAATCTGGTTTGCTCTAAAAAGTTATGTCTTAATTGCTATAAAAGTTACGATTTGAAATTATACAGCATTTACAGCATAATACATAGTGTGTCACTCATATTTACAATTTTGAGTATATATACATAAATGAGTATTACAGTAAAAAATTATTTAGAAGCTCATGATGAATGTGTTCAGTCGTAAGAATACATATTAATACAATGCTTCGTATTTTGTCGTCGTTCTGTCATTTGATATGTAAAACATCGTTACTATAATCTACGCCATCTAGCGACGAAGCCCTTCTCTGACGTAAAGGGGTGTAAAAATGCCGTTCACATCGCTGATGTTTCGATATATTGTTGTCCGTCAATGAAAACAATAATGTATTTGATTTTTATTCTGAGTGACGAACGACTGCACAACCAGAGTTGTATATTTGAAAACATTGTTTCACACATCACGGTCACTAAAACTATAACCTTTCACATACGTCAGAGAAGCGCAGAAAACGGTACTTTGGGATGATTGTTGAGACTCCTCTGAACAGTGTAACAAGATTAGCCCTACGTGTGTAACATATATAAATTTGGTTGTTCGGGATTACTTCAAAGTTGAGTTTGTATTGTTTTCTCGAATTTTCACCGGCTCGACCGGCGTTCCACAGCAGCGCGCAAAAAGCCCATAGAAATGCATGTACAGTAGTACGCGTCTTAGCAACGTGGAACGTCTCATAACGTAGCTCCGCCCCGAGGATCTCTGATATCTATAAATCGGGATGTTTATATTATATGAAATGGTATAAATACAAGTATATATCAAGTTCACATTAAATGGTGAGTCTCTATTATCTGTAATCACAACTATAAAATAGAAATATTATTATTTTTTTTGTAGATTATCCAGAAGATCAGTTGCTATATATGGAAGTGAGATTGGATATTGAATTTGACTCAGGACTTGAAGACACCGAATCGATGGGTTTTACCTTGGTAGCATCTCGTGTTGAGGCAGCGGTAAGCATTTGGGGTAGTTGTTGTTACTACCTCTGCAACATAATAGCGCCACCAGTAGGCTCCAGGCACATACCTTCTTGAAGCAGCAGCAATCTGAGTGGCAGTGCTTTCTAATTGGATACTTCTTGTGAACATATGACTCATACAACCGATGACGGGATAGCGTGCATGTCTTGTGTGCGCAGCGAACATGAATATAGTTTAAACTTATCAATATTTTTTCATGTCTCATTTCAGTGGTAGCACCTTCTAATTTTACACATTTAGTAGAAATTACGATGTCAACCACAGTTAATGCAGATATAACAAACAATCCATCATCATTTGCGTCCTTGCTTTATAAGCGTTTCTACGTCAGCACGTACATGACATAGTCACGCTTTTCTGCCCTCAGTTGTATGCTATGTCAAAGCTATTTCGTTATCTCCCCCACAGAAAAAAAAGATATTTTTAAAGGGAACCTCAATCCAAACAACATAATGA